CACCCAGCTTAGATTTTTTGGGGGTTTTTTTGAGACCAGAGTTTCTTGCTCAGGCGCCCGCCACCACGCCGGCGTTAATTTTTTTTGTTATTTAGTAGAGAGCAGGGTTTTGATGTATTGGCCAGATGGGTCTCGACTTCTCGCTGACCTCAGTGGGATTCTGCCCGTCTCGCACTTCTCAACAGTGGCGGTTTGTTTCGGAGTTACAGGCGTGATGCACCGGCGCCCGGCCACATTTTTGTGTTTTGTAGAGACGGGTTTCACCCATGTTGGCAGGATGGTCAATCTCTATGACCTCAGTGATCTGCCCGCTCGCGTCCCAAAGTGCTGGGATTAACAGGTATGAGCCTGTGCCTGCCGTTATGGTTTATATGATCTTTTGGAGAGATTTTATTCATAACAAACAGTAAGAGGATAGATATGAGCTGGCGTTGGTGGCTTACACCTATAATCCAGCACTTTGGCGAGTCGCAAGTTGGGAGGATCACTGGTCATTGATTTGGAGTTTCTAGGTCAGTATATGTGCGTTGGTAATCTTGAGGTAATTTTGACAGATACTGTCAGAATGGCCCACACAGAGATTGCAGCCCACGTGAGGAATTCTCAGGTTCCAACGATCCCCCAGAGTCAGTTCTGGGTTTCCGTGGTGATGCCAGCTCTAAACGGTGCCCCCTCCCCCAGGTGGCCCATCCCCTGCACCCCTGCACCCCAAACGCAGCCCGACGAGCACGGGGGAAGCAGAGCTGAAGGAGGAGCGGCTGCCAGGCCGGAAGGCGAGCTGCAGTGCCGCGGGGAGTGGGAGTCGAGGGCTGCCCCCCTCCAGCCCCATGGTCAGCAGCGCCCACAACCCCAACAAGGCAGAGATCCCAGAGCGGCGGAAGGACAGCACGAGCACCCCCGTGAGTTACCAGGGCTGGGGGGCAGGGCTGGGGGCGCTGCCACCTGTGGCCAGCCTGCGGACACCACCCGAGCCACATTCCTCAGGCCCTGCCTTCATCTCATTCCCCAGGTGGAACTCCTTCTTACCAATTCCTTCTTATACCCATTCATTCATTCAACAAACATTTATCGAGCGCCTCTGTTTGCCTGAGCTCAATTTATACACAAACACTTGATGTTCGTGTATAACGTTCTGTGTCAAAGAAGCGAAGAACATACTCTTGGCAGAAAGGATTTAATACAGGAAATTAAGTGCTTTTAAAAATGTGGGAAGGGCCAGGCATGGTGGCTCATGCTTGTAATCCTGGCATTTTGGGAAGCCGAGGCAGGAGGATCACTTGAGGCCAGGAGTTTAAGAAACATAGCAACACTCCATCTCTACTAAAAATCAAAAAAATTAGCCAGGCATTGTGTTATGTGCCTGTGGTCCCAGCTACTCGAAAGACCGGGGTGGGAGAATCACTTGAACCCGGGAGGTTGAGGCTACAGGGAGGTTGAGGCTACAGGGAGCTGTGATCCTGCCACTGCACTCCATCCTGGGTGACAGAGCAAAACCCTGTCTTAATGAATCAATAAATAAAATATTAATAGTAATTTAAAAAATCAGGCCAGGCGCAGTGGCTCACGCCTATAATCCCAGCACTTTGGGAGGCAGAGGTGGGCGGATCACTTGAGGTCAGGAATTTGAGATCCACTTGGCCAATATGGCGAAACCCTGTCTCTACTAAAAATATGAAAATTAGCCGGGCGTGGTGGCGGGCACCTGTAATCGCAACTACTCGGGAGGCTGAGGCAGGAGAATCGCTTGAACCCAGGGGGCGGAGGCTACAGTGAGCCAAGACTGTACTACTGCACTCCAGAATGGGTGACAGGTGAGACTCCATTAAAAAAAAAAAAAAAAAGGCTGGATGCAGTGGCTCACGCCTGTACTCGCAGCACTTTGGAAGGCCAAGGCGGGCGGATCATGAGGTCAGGAGATCGAGACCGTCCTGGCTAACACAGTGAAACCCCATCACTACTAAAAATACAGAAAATTAGCTGGATGTGGTGCATCCACCTATAGTCTCAGCTACTCTGGAGGTTGAGGCAGGAGAATCACTTGAACCCGAGAGGCGGAAGTTGCAGTGAGCCAAGATCACACCACTGCACTCCAGTCTGGGTGACAGAGTGAGATTCTGTCTCAAGAAAAAAAAAAATGTCGTAGGAAGCAGCAGCAGCTTCCCCAGCTCCTCAGCTCTTCCGGCATCTACATTACATTCTGTCCCACTCCCTGCTCCTCTGCTCTGCACATGTTCAGGAGCCGCCCCACGTGGCTGTGCCCTTGGCGTTTCGAGGCTGGTCATGGCAGGGTACTACCAGCCAAGTCCCAGCCTTGACCAGGGTGCACACAGGTATGAGTCTGAGCCAGTTGTGGGCCTAAACTTTTAAAATCGTGGTCGGGTGAGGTGGCGGGCGCCTGTAGTCCCAGCTACTCGGTAGGCTGAGGCAGGAGAATGGCGTGAACCCGGGAGGCGGAGCTTGCAGTGAGCTGAGATCCGGCCACTGCACTCCAGTCTGGGCAACAAAGCGAGACTCTGTCTCAACAACAACAACAAAAAAAAAAGCATGGTCGGCTGAGCGTGGTGGCTTACACCTGTAATCCCAGCACTTTGGGAGGCCAAGGCGGGCGGATCACGAGGTCAGGAGATCGAGACCATCCTGGCTAACACAGTGAAACCCCGTCTCTACTAAAAATACAAAAAAAATTCGAGCCGGGCGAGGTGGCGGGCGCCTGTAGTCCCAGCTACTCGGTAGGCTGAGGCAGGAGAATGGCGTGAACCCGGGAGGCGGAGCTTGCAGTGAGCTGAGATCCGGCCACTGCACTCCAGTCTGGGCAACAAAGCGAGACTCTGTCTCAACAAAGAAAAAAAAAAAAAAGCATGGTCGGCTGAGCGTGGTGGCTTACACCTGTAATCCCAGCACTTTGGGAGGCCAAGGTGGGCAGATCACGAGGTCAGGAGATCGAGACCATCCTGGCTAACACAGTGAAACCCCGTCTCTACTAAAAATACAAAAAAAATTAGCCGGGCGTGGTGTCGGGCGCCTGTAGTCCCAGCTACTCGGGAGGCTGAGGCAGGAGAATGGTATGAACCCGGAGGCAGAGCTTACAGTGAGCCGAGATCGCGCCGTTATACTCCAGCCTGGCGACAGAGTGAGACTCTTTCAAAAAAAAAAAAAAAAAGCATGGGTTACCACCCACACACACAGACACAAAATACTTATAGTTATCTTATTTTTACCGTAAGATTTTGCTCTTTAACAAATAAGTTGACCGGGTGTGGTGGCTCATGCCTGTAATCCCAGCACTTTGAGAGGCTGAGGTGGGTGGATTGCTTGAGCTCAGGAGTTCGAGACCAACCTGTGCAAAATGGTGACACCTCTTCTCTACAAAAAATACAAAAATTAGTCCGGTGTGGTGGTGGCACGTGCCGGTAGTCCCAGCTACTTGGGAGGCTGAGGCAGGAGGATCACTTGTGTCCAGGAGGCGAAGGTTGCAGTGAGCCAAAATCGCGTCACTGCACTCCAGCCTGGGCGACGGAGACCTTGTCTCAAACAAAGAAACAAAAAAATAAGTTTTTAAATACTAATTGTTCTTGTACATACTTGAGAACATTCATGTTTTAAATTTCTTCTTAGTGCTCTTGGTGCCCCTGGGTACTTCCATTTTATTTTGGTTCTAAACACCCAAGGCAAACCAAGGTCTCACTGCACGGCTGTTTGCAGGGTAGGGGCGTTTCTGCGGAGGTCCCGACCATCAGGAGGAACCCAGCCATGGTGGTTGGTGGTGTCTGGCTGTTACCAGCGTTTACCAGCCTTGACTGGCTTTGACCGATTGTGACTGGCCTTCACTGGCAATGCCTGCCAGGGCCCTACTGAAGCTTTTACCGCAAGTGTCCGCCTGTTACCAGTGGCAGCCAGCTGTGGCCAGCTTTTATCAGCCTTTACTGGCAGTGGCCAGCCATGACCAATATTAACCAGCAGCAACTGGCTGTGACCGGCTTTGACCAGCCTTGACTGGCCGTGACCACCCTTGGCCAATGGTATCTGGCTGTGACCAGTGGTGTCTGGCCATTAACACTCATGACCAGCTTTAACTGTCCCTGACTGTTGGTGTCTGACCATGACCAGCCTTAACTTGCTGTGACAGGCTTTGACCAGCAGTGTCGGGCCATGACCAGCGGTAGCCAGCAGCGACTGGCAGTGACCGGCTGTGTTTGGTTTGACCAGCTGTGACCCTGCCGCCACCTGTGAGGACTGCTAGTCCGTGTTGAGGGCCCTGAACTCCAGGGCTGTGCAGAGCCCGGGGTCAGTACAGGGAGGGGTGTGGAATGTTGTGAGGGGACCCTGTGGGGATGGGGCAGGAGAGGGTGCCCCTGAGGACAGCTCACTGGCCACCTTATACCAGAAGGGCCTTAGGGAAACAGATCTTGAGGGCATCAACTCAACTTCAGGCAGGTGGTGCAGGAGGGAGGCGGGGATGCCTGTGTGTCCTGAGTATTCCGGATCAGTACAAATTCACGCCCCTTGGCTCCTCCCCAGCCCCAAGACCTGGAGCTCCACATGGCAGCCTCTGAGGCCCATGTGTCAGAGAGTGATCCACAGCCCAGAGAATGGGTGGGAGCCGCAGGGCCAGAGAAGGAGAGGATGAGATGGGAGTGTGGTTAAAGAAAAAAGAAAAAATTGTAGGAAGGACTGGAGGAGCGGACAGTGGGCGGGGCGGACAGTGGGTGGGATTTGCAGGAACAACAGTCCCAACCACACCGCAGAACTGACCCACCAAGGAAGCTGCTGCTTCTGAGGCTGCCCCAGCACTGGTAAATTCAAGAGTGCACTGTTAGGCCGGGCACGGTGGCTTATGCCTGTAAGTCCAACACTTTGGGGGGCTGAGGCAGTGGATCACTTGAGGTCAGGAGTTCAAGACCAGCCTGGCCAACGTGGCAAAATTCCGTCTGTACTAAAAATACAAAAATTAGCCTGGCGTGGTGCACACCTGTAATCTCAGCTACTTGGGAGGCTGAGGCAGGAGAATTGCCTGAACCTAGGAGGCGGAGGTTACAGTGAGCTGAGATTGCGCCACTACACTTCAACCTGGGTGACAGGGCGAGACTCCGTCTTAAAAAAAAAAAAAAAAAGGCCGGGCGCGGTGGCTCACACCTGTAATCCCAGCACTTTGGGAGGCCGAGGCAGGCAGATCACAAGGTCAGGAGATCAATCAAGACCATGGTGAAACCCCGTCTCTACTAAAAATACAAAAAATTAGCCTGGCGCAGTGGTGGGCGCCTGTAGTCCCAGCTACTCAGGAGGCTGAGGCAGGAGAATGGCGTGATCCCAGGAGGCCGAGCTTGCAGTGAGCTGAGATCGTGCCACTGCACTCCAGCCGGGGGACAGAGTGAGACTCCGTCTCAAAAAAAAAAAGCACATTGACATGGCTGTAACCCAAGACTCAAAAACCTCATCCTCCATCAGTCAAAAGAGCTTATTGATGCCCAGAGGGCTGGACAATGGGCAATGGGGCCCTGCTGAAGCAAAGACCTTCATCTCATAGCCTTGCCTGTGTGAGCTGAAGTCAAAGTAGGCAGGACAGCAGCTGCTGCCCCATTTACACCTTCCAAATCTTCATGAATGCAAAGATTGGCAGAACCCAACTTGTATGCAGAACCTGAGCTGCAAAGGACTCTGGGAAATGTAGTACTTGGCCTGCATCTGAGTTCCCAAGAACAGCATAGTATGAAAATATCCTCAATATAGGAACAGGAGAGTGGAGGCAGCTGGACATGGTGGCACACACATGTAGTCCCAGCTATTGGGAGGCTGAAGTGGGAGGATTGCTTGAGGCCAGGAATTTGAGACCAGCCTGGGCAACATGGTGAGATCCTATCTCTTAAAAAAGAGAAAAAGGGTGGAGGCAGTTTGAGAAAGTGGCCAAGATTCTGAAGCCACGTAGAGTTTGAATTACATTAATGAGCCGTGTGACCTTTGGCAAGTAACTTCCTCTCTCTGACCTTTAGTATCTCACTCTGTGAAATGGGCTCGTTAGAGAACCTGGGTCATTGTGAGGATCTTGTAAGATCTCAAACGTGAGGTACTTCACATACTGGCACAGTAAGCACTCAGTGAATGAGAGCTATTGTTATTGCTAAATGAAAACCACACCTTAAGAAGGTTAAAAAAAAAAAAAAAAGAAAAACAAATAAACCTCAAAGAAAGTAGAAGGGACCAGAAGTGGTGGCTCACGCCTATAATCCCAGCACTTCGGGAGGCTGAGGCAGGAGGATTGCTTGAACCCAGGAGTTGAAGACCAGCCTGGGCAACACAGACCCTGTCTCTGCCAAAAATAAAAATTAGCTAAGTGTTGATGACACATGCCTGAGGTTCTAGCTACTTGGGAGGCTGCAGTGAGCCATGATCACACCACTGCACTCCAGCCTAGGCATCAGAACAAGACCCCATCTCAAAAAAAGAAGGGAGGAGGCATTAAAGAGAATAAATCAGTGAAGGAGAAGGAAGAGGTATAATAAAGCAACAAAACCTAAAGTTGGTTTTTTGAAAAGATTAATAAAATCAGTCTGGGCGCAGTGGCTCATACCTGTAATCCCAGCACTTTGAGAGGCTGAGGCGGGTGGATTACTTGAGGTCAGGAGTTTGAGACCAGCCTGGCCAGCATGGTGAAACCCTGTGTCTTCCAAAAATACAAGAAATTAGCTGGTCGTGGTGGTGCACGCCTGTAATCCCAGCTACTTGGGAGGCTAAGGCAGGAGAATCACTTGAACCTGGGAGGTGGATGTTGCAGCGAGCCGAGATCATGCCATTGCACTCCAGCCTGGGCAAAAAGAGTGAAACTCTGTCCTAAATAAATAAATAAATAAAATCCAATGGATCCCTGGTAAAAATCAATTAAGGAAAAAAGACAGCAAACATGAATTACCAGTATCCAAAATGAAAAGGGGAACTTTGTTCTAATATTGACAGATAGTAAGATGATATTAGGAACTACTTTATGCCAATAAATGTAACAGCTTAGATGAAATGGACACATTACTTTAAAAACACACTGTATCAAAACTGACACAAGAAGAAACAGAAAACCTGAACAGTCTTATATTCTTGTTAAAGAAATTGAATTCGTAACTGAAAACCTTCCTCATAAAGAAAATTTCCAGCTCTGATGACTCCCACCAGTAGAATTCTTCCAAACACTTAAAGAAGAAATAACACTAACCTTACACAAACTTCCAGAGAATAGAAAAAGAGAGCTCTCTGCCTAACATGTTTATGAGGCAGCGTAATCCTGATATTCCCTATGTTCCCAGAGCTCACAGCCCAGTATGGGATGGGGACATATATGAGAACAGACATTGATAGCACAGTGATTGAAGCTGCAGTGGGGAGCCCAGGGACCTGTGGGAACCCAAAGGAGGCACGTGACTCAGCCTGGGGCCGGGGGTGGTGGTAGATTATGAACTGACACCTGAAAGATATGTAGGAGTGAGTCAGGGGAAAAGGTAGGAGGAATGTTCTAACAGGTGAGACAGCCAGTGCAAAGGCTAGGCAGAGTGACAGAATGTGGCATGAATAAGTACGTTAGCAAACGTTTGGTGTGGCTGGGCCGGACCTTGAGAAGGTGGGTATTGCTGGGAGAAGAGTGATGGACAAGGATGCCCCCTGGAAACCTTCCCTGCCTCGTTTTCCCTCAGTGTCGCCCTCTTCTCCGGGCTCCAGGGGTCTCCCTTGACTCAGCCTAGGTGGTTGGGATTCTCATGAGCCTTTCACGTCTTTGAGACCTTTGACCATCTCCTACCCACCCTGGCTTCCCACACGAGCCCCTGACTCATTCGTCGATGGGGAGGGCAGAGAAGGGAAGAGGATGGAGCTCAGGGGCATGTCTTCACCCCCTCACTCCCTTCCTGGCCGTGTCTCCTGCAGAACAACCTCCCTCCCAGCATGATGACCCGCAGAAACACCTACGTTTGCACAGAACGCCCGGGGGCTGAGCGCCCGTCACTGTTGCCAAATGGGAAAGAAAACAGGTACGGAGGGGGCAGCAACAGGGTGAGGGGTGGGAAGTAGGGGGTAGGTGAATAGGACCTCCCTTGATCTGAGATGGTAGGCGTTGGAGGCTGGTGCCATGGGGACCGGGGCCCAGAGAGGGAGTGTATCTGCCCTGCCCTTGGCCATGTGCCCTTGCCATGTACCCCCCTGAAAATCCTCCCCACTTAATTAATTAGTCTTCAGCACCAGGAAAGCAGTTGGCCCTGTTCTCCGCCTACAAGCCTTGGGAACCTGAATTGATTTTTTGAATGATCCATTTTTAGAAGGCGAGAGAAGCCCCAGAATGTCACAGCTTCAGCATCATCTGGTTGGCTGGTTTTCCAGCTTGTTGGCCTGAGTCTGTGAGGTCTCTTCCAGCTGGCAAGGGAGAGAAACCAGTTCAGACTGGCTGGAGCAGAGAGAGGGAAGGGATTGGTTCACATCACAGGTCAAGACCAGTGAGAGTGGGGCCGGCTCCACAACGAGGACACTGCCACCCACCGGGACAGTAGGGCAGGTTGATGGCCAACACCAGGGCACACTCTGGGATGCACCTGATTAGTGGATGCAGATCTTCCCATTGGGTGTGGGCAGGGGAATGAGGTAGTTAACAGTCACGATTCTGTGAATACTCAGTTCTGAGTTCGAATCTTACCTCTGTGCTCGCACTGCTAGCTGAATGACTGGGTAAATCTCTGAGTCTCTGTTTCCTCCATAAAATGGGCTTGATGCTATCTGGGCACGGTGGCTTACGCCTGTAATCCCAGCACTTTGGGAGGCCGAGGTGGGCAGATCACCTGAAGTCAGGAGTTCGAGACCAACCTGGCCAACATGGTGAAACCCTGTCTCTACTAAAAATACAAAAATTAGCCAGGAATGGTATCATGCGCATGTAATCCCAGCTACTCAGAAGGCTGAATAAGGCAGGAGAATCGCTTGAACCCAGAAGGCAGAGGTTGCAGTGAGCTGGGATTATGCCACTGCACTCCAGCCTGGGCCACACAGCGAGATTCTGTCTCAAAAAAAAAAAAGGCCAGGTACGGTCTTTTTACACCTGTAATCCCAACACTTTGGGAGGCCGAGATAGGCAGATCACGAGGTCAGGAGATACCCCATCTCTACTAAAAATACAAAAAATTAGCCAGACGTGGTGGTGGGTGCCTGTAGTCCCAGCTACTCAGGAGGCTGAGGCAGGAGAATGGCATGAACCCGGGAAGTGGAGCTTGCAGTGAGCCTAGTCCACTGCACTCCAGTCTGGGTGACAGAGCAAGACTCCATCTCAAAAAAAAAAAAAAAAAAAAAAAAACGGGCTGATGCTATCTACTTCCAGGCCCCATTATAGAGATCCAGTAGAGATCAGGTGTGTCCTGTACCTGGCACTGGGTCTGATGCTTAGGAGGCCTTCATTCAGTGACTGAGAGTGCTTTTTCTTGGTGGTTATCAAATAAAAATAATAGTAGTGAACATTCTGAAGCAGCAGCCACATGCCAGACTTCTATGTCTATCGCCTGGCTCAATGCCCCTAACAACTCTGTGAGGTAGATCCTAGTATCTCCATTTTACAACTGAGGACATAAGGCATAGGGAGGTTAAGTAACTTGTCCAAAGCCACACAGCTGGTAAGTCAAGAAGCAGATTCCAGACTGACTCCAGAATCTATTTGTAATCACCATAATATATGGCCTTCCAGTTCTGCTCAAGAGACAGTAGAACAGTTAAATTACAGACTCAGACAAAAAAAAAAATTAAAATTTAAAATTTAAAAACAAAAAATAAAAATTATAGACTCAGCTGCTGTAACAAAAACAAAGAGAAACCAGGGTAGAGTAATTTAAATAAAAAGGAGGTTTAGTCCAGAGGGTCCTCCAAGGACCCAGGTAAGTTCTTCCAGCCCCAACATGAGTTTCCAGCTCTGGGTCTGAGGCCACTGCACCAGCTGCCATCATTTCCTAATCAGCAAGAAGTGGGGAAAGAGTAGGGGACAAACAGCAACTCTCTTTAAAGGCGTGACCCGGAGATCGTACAGAGCGCTTCTGCTTATATCCCATTGGCTGGAGCGTGGTCACATGACCATCCCTAACTGCAAGGGAGTCTGGGAAATGTAGACTCTGGCTGGGTGGCCGTGTGCAGTGCTCATACTCTTAGGGGTTTGGTTACCAAGAGCAAAACAGGGAGGATGGATTCTAAGGGAGAAGTAACAGCCTCTGCCACAATCAGGATTCTTCCCTGAGATCCAGGCTGGGCCTGAAGTCCCTGGGAGGATAGAAATTGGAGGTCTGGGCCGGGCGCGGTGGCTCAAGCCTGTAATCCCAGCACTTTGGGAGGCCGAGACGGGCGGATCACGAGGTCAGGAGATCGAGACCATCCCGGCTAACACGGTGAAACCCCGTCTCTACTAAAAATACAAAAAACTAGCCGTGCGAGGTGGCGGGCGCCTGTAGTCCCAGCCTCCGGGAGGCTGAGGCCGGAGAATGGCGTGAACCCAGGAGGCGGAGCTTGCAGTGAGCTGAGATCCGGCCACCGCACTCCAACCTGGGCGGCAGAGCGAGACTCCGCCTCAAAAAAAAAAAAAAAAAAAGAAATTGGAGGTCTGGGCTGGGCGCAGTGGCTGACGCCTAGAATCCCAGCACTTTGGGAGGCCAAGGCGGGTGGATCACCTGAGGTCAGGAGTTTGAGACCAGCCTGGCCAACATGGTGAAACCCCATCTATACTGAAAATACAAAAATTACCCAGGCGTGGTGCTGCATGCCTATAGTCCCAGCTACTCAGGAGGCTGAGGCAGGAGAATCATTTGAACCCTGGAGGCGGAGGTTGCAGTAGCCAAGATCGCCCCATGGCCCTTCAGCCTAGGTGACAGAGTTAAGACTCTGTCTCAAAAAAAAAAAAAAAAAAAAAATTAGCCAGGCATGGTGGCACACTTGTAATCCCAGCTACTCGGGAGGGTGAGGCAGGAGAATTGAACTCAGAAGATGGAGGTCTGGCCCCTGTTGTCGACTAGGAGGGTCCGAGGGGCTGGAGGAGGGTCCTGGGACAGTGGGACCCCCACTGCTCAAATTATCATAGTGAATACAGGTATCCTTGACCTTTACATCTTTCCCTTTCCTGATTTTAGATGATGGGAGTTCAGATAGCAAAGTGTTTGCCAAGTTGATTTGGTTCCTGAGGTTTCGACAAATAGCAAGGAAGTCACCCAAAAATTTCTGTGCGTCTATTCAGTTGCTGCGTTTGGAGAGAGGAGAGTTGTGATAGGAGATGGTTTGGAGTGGGTAGAGTTTGAAGAAGGGACAGTTTGAAGGAGGGGTAATAGGAGAGGAGAGTTAGTAAAATAATGCTAGGATTGTATAGTACACAGCCTGCACAACTGTACATTGCAGCCCTGTCTCTGAGTTCCAGGCTGGTTGCAGTCCCTGGTCTCAGGACAGGATTATGAAGAATCAGAGGGACTGGGGTCCTGGCTTGCCTCAGTCCCTGACCCTGACTTGTCTCTCTCTGCCCACAGCTCAGGCACCCCACGGGTGCCCCCTGCCTCCCCCTCCAGTCACAGCCTGGCACCCCCATCAGGGGAACGGAGCCGCCTGGCACGCGGCTCCACCATCCGCAGCACCTTCCACGGTGGCCAGGTCCGGGACCGGCGGGCAGGGGGTGGGGGTGGTGGGGGTGTGCAGAATGGGCCCCCTGCCTCTCCCACGCTGGCCCATGAGGCTGCACCCCTGCCCGCCGGGCGGCCCCGCCCCACCACCAACCTCTTCACCAAGCTGACCTCCAAACTGACCCGAAGGTGAGCTCCGCAGGGATGGCAGAAGCGGGGTGGAGCAGGGTGGGGGGGCTGGTGGGACCTAACCTGTCTTCTACTCTGCTCTGTCTCCTGTACCCGAACATTTCCTCCTCCTCCTCCTCCTCCTTTCCTCCTCCCCTGTCGTCCCTCACCGTCCTCCTCACACTGCAGGGTTACCCTCGATCCCTCTAAACGGCAGAACTCTAACCGCTGTGTTTCGGGCGCCTCTCTGCCCCAGGGATCCAAGATCAGTAAGTCCCGTCCATGCCCTGTTCTCGCTGGCCCTGCCTCCCTGTCTGCATGTCTCACCTGTGTGTGCGGGCATTGGGGAGGGGGCTCTGTGGATGTGAGTGGAGTACAGGGTCAGTACGTGGGGTCTGGTTGTTCATTTACTCACAGAAGCATAGCCTCTGGAGCCAGACTCAGGGGTTCAAATGGCAGTTAGTCAAGGTCTCTGGGCCTCACTTTCCTCTTCTGTAAAATGGGTATAGTAATAACAGTACCTGTCTCCTAGGGTTATTGTAAGAACTAAATGGGTCGGGCGCGGTGGCTCAAGCCTGTAATCCCAGCACTTTGGGAGGCTGAGACGGGCGGATCACGAGGTCAGGAGATCGAGACCATCCTGGCTAACACGGTGAAACCCTCTCTCTACTAAAAAATACAAAAAACTAGCCGGGCGAGGTGGCGGGCGCCTGTAGTCCCAGCTACTCGGGAGGCTGAGGCAGGAGCGCGAACCCGGGAGGCGGAGCTTGCAATGAGCTGAGATCCGGCCACTGCACTCCAGCCTGGGCCACAGAGCGAGACTCCGTCTCAAAAAAAAAAGAAAAAAAAAAAAGAACTAAATGAAGTGATACATGGACTGAGCTTAGAACCTTGCCTTGGAAAGTGCTTTACATGTGTATTAGTTATTAATTGCTATTATTCATTGAGTCCTTACCTTGTGCCTGGCACTGTCCTAGGCCCTGTAGTAGAGGGTGAGCAAAAGGTATAAAACTTCTGCCCTGGCAGAGCCAACATTCTATCAAGGGATCTAGACAAAAAAAGAAATCAGTAAAATATACTTATTATATAGACATCTAGGTAGTGTGAAGTAATGAAGAAGAAAAATAGAATAGAAGCCACATTTGGTGGCTCATGCCTGGAATCACAGCACTTTGGGAGGCTGAGGCGAGTGGATCACTTGAGCCCAGGAGTTCAAGACCAGCCTGGACAACATAGCAAGGTCCTATCTCTACAAAAAATAAATAATTGGCCGGGCATGGCGACTACACCTGTAGTCCCATGGACTTGGGAGGCAGGAGGATCACTTGAACCCAGGAGGTCGAGGCTACTGTGAGCTATGATCATCAGTCTTGGCAACAGGGGAAGACCCTGTCTCTGGAAAAAAAAAAAATAGAACAGTTAGGAGAATGAGAGGTGTGGGGAAGGGAGGGGTGCAGCATTAAATGGGCAGGCCTTTGGATGAGGTGGCTCAGGCCAGTAATCCCAGCACTTTGGACGGATCGCTTGAGTCCAGGAGTTTGAGACCAGCCTGGGCAATGTGGCAAAGCCCCATCTCTACCAAAAAAAAAAAAAAAATTTGTGGCACGCACCTATAGTCCCAGCTACTTCAGGGGCCAAGGCAGGAAGATTGCTTGAACCCGGGAGATTGAGGCTGCAGCCAGCCGAGATCACGCCACTCCTGCATGTCAGAGTAAGACTCTGTCTCAAAAAAAGAAAAAAGGGCAGGTCTCACAAAGGTGTTGTTTGAGCAAAGCACGATTGTATATGTGAGTGTGTGTGTGCGCGTCTCTCTCTCTCTGGCCACTTTTCTATATAAGGGTGTGTCTCTGCCCACTCCCCTCCCTTTCATCTTCCACATTCTTCAGTATCTTTCCTGTGACCTGCACTAACCCATTTCAGAATGAGCCCCATTATGGGGATGGACAGGGAGATCAAATCCTGACTCCGGGCCCTCGCCAGCCAGCCCGGAGGGACTGGGGTTGAGGCAGGGGCTGCTCAGAATCCCAGAGGCAGTGGGTTGGGGGAGGTGGGTTCCCTATGTCCAGATTAGACACTCTGTCCCCCTCCCCTCCCCTAGGGTCGCAGACGAACCTGAGAGAATCGGGGGACCTGAGGTCACAAGGTGAGTGCTTAGGCCTACCCCCGACTGCCACACCAGCCCTTCCCCTCTCCTGCCTCCGCACCTCCTGACACTTACCCCAGGGAATTAGATGGGGCCCCAGTCTCATCCTGCAAGGCCAACTTCCTGAAATGCCCTATGGCCCCCGCCTTCTCTGCCAGCTCCTCTCATTCCCACCCCATCACAAGCACCTTCTCTTGATCATCTTAAACTTCAGCCTCCGACCGGGCGCCGTGGCTCACGGCTGTAATCCCAGCACTTTGGGAGGCCGAGGCAGGCGGATCACCTGAGGTCGGGAGTTCAAGACCAACCTAACATGGAAAAACCCCGTCTTTACTGAAAGTACAAAAATTAACCGGGCATGGTGGCCCATGCCTGTAATCCCAACTACTCGGGAGGCTGAGGTAGGAGAATCACTTGAACCCAGGAGGCAGAGGTTGCGGTGAGCCGGGATCGTGCCATCACGCTTCAGCCTGGGCAGCAAGAGCAAAACTCCGTCTAAAAAAAGAGAGAAAAAAAAAAAGCCTGATCCCATCTACAACTCAACTTCTGGTCAATGCCCCCACCTCCTTTTGCTTCTCATCCAGTCATGGCACAATGTTTGCCGGCACCTCAGGGCCAGCAGGAGGCAAACATTATCCGTACAGACCCAGATCATGAAGATTTTAGGCTTTGAGGGCCAGGCACCCCTTGTCACGCCTGTTCAGTTGTGCCACTGTAGTGCAAAAGCAGTCATATTCAACACAAAACAAATGGATATGGCTGTGTTCCAATGAAACTTGATTTACAAAAGCAGACAGCACCGAAGATTGCCAAGCCCTGGTTTAGTCTGAGTTCCCGGTTTAGAGACCCAGGTGGAAACCCGAGCCTTGCCAGCAGCTACAATGAACTGCCAGGTCTGATTCTTATTGGCTGGGACTAGGTCACATGCTCATTCCTAAGCCAATGTCTGCAGCCAGAGAGGTGAAGTACTCTGGTTGGTCAGACGTGGTCATGTGGTCACCCTAGATCCAAGCACAGAGGTCGGAAGTAGAATGCTCTCATTGGCAGAGCTGAGGCTCCTGCTCACCCAAGCTGAGGGGTGGCCACGCGGAAACAAGGGGGGCTAGCCCTGGGCTGCTCATCCAGTGCAGCACTCTTGTACTTCAGGCGGGACATTTCTTTGTTGTGCAGGGCCCTTTTGCACGTTGGAGAATGTTTATCATCCCTGACTTAACCCATCCCCAACCTAATCAATGCCAACAGTGCTCCCATCCTAAGACATATGACAAAAAGCCCCCAGAGGCCGAACACGAGTGGCTCATGCCTGTAATTCCAACAACTCAGGAGGCCAAGGCAGCAGGATCACTTGAGCCGAGGAGGTCAAGGCTGCAGTGAGCTGTGATTGCACCACTGCACTGCAAGACCAAAAAACTAAAAAGTGGCTGGGCACTGTGGCTCGGGCACGGTGGCTCACGCCTGTAATCCCAGCACTTTGGGAGGCCAAGACTGGTGGATCACCTGAGGTCGAGAGTTCGAGACCAGCCTGACCAACATGGAGAAACCGCATCTCTACTAAAAATACAAAAATTAGCCAGGGCCAGGCGTGGTGGTGCATGCCTGTAATCCCAACTACTGGGGAGGCTGAGGCAGGAGAATCGCTTGAACCCAGGAGGCGGAGGTTGTGGTGAGCCGAGATCATGCCATTGCACTCCAGTCTGGGTAACAAGGGCAAAACTCCCTCTCAAAAAAAAAAAAAAAAAAAAACAGAAATTTCTCGTTCAAACCATGTGGCCAAGCCAGGCTGGTAGGGCCACCCTGATCTGTGCAATCATTCACGTCCCCAGGTTTTTCCATCCCCATTCCCTGGAGCCCTCATGTCAACTTCACAGTTGAGGCTGGCCTGTGCCACTGCGAAGTCCAGCTCCTGGGAGATGCGGGACAGGAGAGCCTGGAGCATGCAGGTTCTCTGAAGGAACTGATGTGGATGGCAGTCCTCACTTCTGCTTCTGTCCCAGAATTTAGAGACAGGGTCACACCTGGCTGCAAGGGAGGCTGGAAAGTGTGGTCTCTAGCTGGGGGGCAGCTCTGTTCCAGTTGAAACCGTCACTGGCATAGCAGGGGAAGAAGTTTTTTGAGGGGATGGCTAGGAATCTGTCCCAAATTGGGAAGAGGTATCCCTTCAGCCCTCCACCACATTCCTCTTCGCTCCCATCTCTGACCCCTGATATCTTCTCGCCTCAGTTGCCATCTACCTTGGGATCAAACGGAAACCGCCCCCCGGCTGCTCCGATTCCCCTGGAGTGTGAAGCTGACCAGCTCGCGCCCTCCCGAGGCCCTGATGGCAGCTCTGCGCCAGGCCACAGCAGCCGCCCGCTGCCGCTGCCGCCAGCCACAGCCGTTCCTGCTGGCCTGCCTGCACGGGGGTGCGGGCGGGCCCGAGCCCCTGTCCCACTTCGAAGTGGAGGTCTGCCAGCTGCCCCGGCCAGGCTTGCGGGGAGTTCTCTTCCGCCGTGTGGCGGGCACTGCCCTGGCCTTCCGCACCCTCGTCACCCGCATCTCCAACGACCTCGAGCTCTGAGCCACCACGGCCCCAGGGCCCTTCCTCTTCCTCTCCCTTGTCCCCTTCACTTCTAAAGGAGGGGAAGGGGCCAGGGAGGGGAATTCTCCCTTTATCATCACCTCAGTTTCCCTGAATTAGATTTGGGGGCAAAGATTGTCCCCTCTGCTGTTCTCTGGGGCCGCTCAGCACAGAAGAAGGATGAGGGGTCTCAGCGGGGGGAGCTGGCACCTTCCTGGAGCCTCCAGCCAGTCCTGTCCTCCCTCGCCCTACCAAGAGGGCATCTGAGGAGACTTTGGGGACAGGGCAGGGGCAGGGAGGGAAACTGAGGAAATCTTCCATTCCTCCCAACAGCTCAAAATTAGGCCTTGGGCAAGGGCAGGGAGAGCTGCTGAGCCTAAAGACTGGAGAATCTGGGGGACTGGGAGTGGGGGTCAGAGAGGCAGATTCCTTCCCCTCCCCTCCCCTCCCGCTCAAACCCCCACTTCCTGCCCCAGGCTGGCGCGGGGCACTTTGTACAAATCCTTGTAAATACCCCACACCCTCCCCTCTGCAAAGGTCTCTTGAGGAGCTGCCGCTGTCACCTACGGTTTTTAAGTTATTACACCCCGACCCTCCTCCTGTCAGCCCCCTCACCTGCAGCCTGTTGCCCAATAAATTTAGGAGAGTCCCCCCCCCACCCCAGTGCTGACCCTAGAATTTTCCTTCCCTGCCCTCACCTGCAAATGAGTTGAAGAAGAGGCCTGGGAATCCAGGCAGTGGTTTTTCCTTTCAGAGCCTCGGTTTTCTCATCTGCAGAATGGGAGCAGTGGGGGTGGGAAGGTAAGGATGGTCGTGGAAGAAGGCAGGATGGAACTCGGCCTCATCCCCGAGGCCCCAGTTCCTACATCAGGCCCCCCATTCATCCACTCACACTCCCAGCCACCATGTTACACTGGACTCTAAGCCACTTCTTACTCCAGTAGTAAATTTATTCAATAAACAATCATTGACCCGTGCCTACTCCATGCCAGGTCCAGTGCTGGACACAGAGACACAAAGCCCTGTCTGTGGGAGACATGGATTCTGACACAGACACTGGACAGGGGAGTCCAGAAGAGAAAGCGGGCAGGGTGGGGTCACTGGGGAAGATGCTCTAGAGGAATTAATGCTTGAGTGGAGTGTTGAAGGATGAGTAGGAGTTGGCTAGGCATTGAGTTTGCCCTGGGCAAAAGCCCAGAAGTGGGAGTATGTGGTATATCTTCAGAGAACTGGGTAATTTCAGTGTGGCTACTGTGTTGGGCATGGATGGAGAATTAACAAGAGAAATGCTGTATTAGGACTAATAATCCATCTATACTGCTTAAGCAAAAAGGTATTTGTTGGCTTAGGTTAGTCAATAGTACAGGGGCACCTGACTTCAGGTAGGTTTAATCCAGGCATCAGACCATTGCATCTATTTTTCAGTGTAAGTTGAATTCTAGTAGTTTGTATCAAGTAAGTGCACCTTTCCTGATGGCACAGATGACTTCAGCAGTTAGAAGTTTCTATCCCTCCAGCTTTCTGCAGCAGAAAGATCCTCATTGTCAGTTTCCCAGCAAAAGTCCCAGGGCAGACTCTCATTGGCCCAAATGGGCCATGTGATTTTCTCTAAACCAATCACTGTGACTCTGGAGTGGCCAGACTCATACTTAGAGCTGCAGTTAGTAGGGGTTCCTCAAAGGAAGGTCAAGTGTCACGAGCAGGAGAAAAGGCATGGGAGCTGGACAGATTATAGTGATTGAAGGCTGTGCAGTACAGAAGGGCGGAGCTTATTCACACAGTGCCTTTGGGGCCAAAATGAATAAGCTGGACTTTCTCCCCATGGCACTGGGGAGCCATGGAAGTTCAGGGAACTTCAGGGAAGAGGCTTGGTCAATTACTGAGAGCATCCTCTGTGCTGGGGACACAGTGGTAATCAAGACAGCCCCAACACTGCCCTCATAGAGCTCACATTCCAATGGAGGAGGCAGATGTGTCCTCAGGCAGCGACTGGGCAGGGCTGGTATTGGGGAGTCCAGAGGGTGATGCCTGCCTCAGCCAGGGAGGGCTTCCTGGAGGAGAAGGAGCCAGCTAGACATGGATAGGAGTGCATTTTAGGCAGAGCGAATGGCACATACAAGGGCCAGGGAGCAGGAGAGGGGACACATTCTTCAACAAATGGCATGTGACTTGGTAAGTGTAGATTTGCTGTGAGGTATGAGGCTAGGGGCGTCAGTAGGGCTTTGAAGGTTATGGACAGGGGATGGGCTTTCTTCCAAGGGCATTGAGGGAACCATGGCAAGGTTGTGGGCAGTGTAGAGATGGGCGGGTTTGTGCTATGCAGGGTGGAAGGGAGGGAAGTTAACAGGTCAGAAGAGCAGGAAAGAGGTCTGGGCCTGACAGATGGGGAAAGCACGGATAGATTTAAGAGAGTCCTATGAGGCAAAGTGGGCGGGACATGGTTACTGACAGGTGTCTGGACTGTGGATTTGGCTGGCTCAGATGGTCCCCACTGGCATGTGTGGTCTGTGTAGCCTCTGGGTGTGGAGCTGGGATCTTCAACTGAGGACAGTACAGTAAAGAACATCCCAGCATCTCACAGGTTCTGCGTACCTTGATGTTTGGGATCTCTTCTAACCTTTAGTAATCTCCCTGGGAACTTTTGGGGACATCCCTAGGCCTCAGTTTCCCCTCTGTAAAACAGAGGGCAGATTGAACTACAAGGGCCCTTAATCTCTGACTCTTCAGGTTTGAAAAAGCACCTTAGGTTCCTGAGGGCTCTGTCAGGTCTTCCATTTACTCCCGCCTAACTTTTTTTTTCCCCCTAAAACCTTTGTCTTTTGGGGCCCACCCACTGTGTCCTTGGGTGGGTGGAGGTGATTGACATGTCCAACACCCAGTGCTTGTTCAGATACTGCTTGACTCCTATTAGCTCTTCTTCTCCCTCCACCAATTGCTCTACCACGCCTGTTTCCTGTTCCTTCCTGGGACTGAGTTCTCCAAAATGCCTGTCCCTAAAGACTTCATGGGGGTGCTCAGATTCAAAGTTCCAGATTGGAGAGGGAAACAGCTTGGTCAAAGACATTGAGGTGGGAATTGGAGGGTGTAAGGTGTGAAAGAATCAGAGGAGTAATGGGGAAAGAACTGGAAAGGTGAGTCTTCAGCAAATGGTATGCATTTCAGTGTGACCTTGAATTGCAAATAACAGAAAGGCTTTCTGGGAGAAATGGGGAGCCATGGCAGGTTCTTGAGCAAAGTAAGGGACTGGCAGCAGCTACAGAGGGATGAAGTCAGACGGGACAGAAGGAAGCCAGTGAGAAGCAGAATAGAGGTAGATGTGATGAGCTGCATGGGAAGCCTCAAACTGGAGACCCCTGGGCTAAATTCAAGTTTCAGACATTTCGTTTGGCTGCATTCCTCCCCAGTTTGAGATCTGAGCATGACTAATTCAAAGCCAAAGTTGGAAAGGGCCCATGCTTTGGGTGAGTGACACTGGGCTCAGTGTCTCTCCAGCTCTCAGATTCCCCACAGAACCTTCTAATTTTTGGACTAGATTCTGTGACCTAACTTTGCCTCATTTTAGACCCGGGATAAGACATGTTTAGTACATGCCGTGAGAGGACAAACCACTCCGAGGCCAGACAGTGGCCAATTGCACCTCCTCCCTCAATAACTATCGCACAAAGCTAAAGCCACCATTGCTTTTATTTATTGCTTTGCGTGGAGACAAACCACAAGATCCGGGTGTGCTGGGAGCTCTCCATTAACTAGAGTCCTGTGGGGGCGAGCTTAGGAAAGAGAGACCCTGCAGGAGAGTATTTCATTTGGCCAGGAATTCAGAAGGAGGAGCCCATTAGGTTCGAACTCTGTGCTTGAAACTGGACACTCTTGAAGGAAGGGTGGAGAGAGCTCCCCAGGAGGCGGCGGAACACATCACAGGTGGGAGCTTCGACAGGGGCGGGGCAAGAAGTTAACGCATCTATCTGGTGGACAAGCCCTCCCATTGGCTGGTTCCCAGCAGTCGGTGGGCAGTGCAGGCCCGTACTTCTGTGCGGTATCATGTCGTCGGATGGACCTGGCCTTGGTTCCGCCGTTGTCTGCACTTCACCATGAGCTTCACACCCCCACCAGTGCACCTGTTTGTACTTCGGACGCTGCCCAGCGACTC